CGATGCCCTTGAAGTGATGTCCCAGTGCCTGGAGGCCGTGCGGGCCTGGATGGGGAGAAACAGGTTCCGACTCAACCCTTCCAAGACCGAGTGGCTGTGGCTTCCGGCGCCCCGATATAGCCAGCTGGTGCCATCGCTGGCTATTGGGGGTGAATCACTCGGCCCCGCGGAGAGGGCTCGCAACTTGGGTGTCCTCCTGGATGCACCGCTGTTTTTAGAAGACCATATGACGGCCGTGGCCAGGGGGGCTTTTTATCAGTTTTGCCTGATACACCAGTTGCGCCCCTTTCTAGATCGGGACTCCCTACCCACGGTCACTCAGGCACTCGTCACCTCCCGCCTGGACTACTGCAATGCTCTGTACATGGGGCTCCCCCTGGGGTGCACCCAGAGGCTCCAGCTGGTCCAGAATGCAGCCATGCGGGGGATTATGGGAGTGACAGGGCGCTCCCATGTGACACCTCTCCTGCGCGAGCTGCACTGGCTCCCGGTGGTCTTCCGGGTGCACTTCAAGGTGTTGGTGACCACCTTTAAAGTGCTCCATGGCTTAGGGCCAGGGTATTTATGAGACCGCCTTCTGCCACCAATAGCCTCCCACCGGCCAGTTCGTTCACAGAGTGGGCCTCCTCAGGGTGCCGTCTGCCAGACAGTGTCAGCTGGCGACCCCCAGGGGGAGAGCCTTCTCTGTGGCGGAGCCCGCCCTCTGGAATAACCTCCCCTAGAGATAGGTACAATATCAGACCTCCGGACTTTTCGTCAGGCCCTGAAAACTTATTTATTTCAACTAGCCGGGCTGGCTTGATCCCACAGTTTTGGGTTAAATTTAATTGATTTTAATTGGGTTTGTTTTAAATTGTGGCCAAAAATATTTAATTATTTTAAACTGTTTTTAAATTTTGTATGTTCTGTTTTTATTCTGGCTGTTCACCGCCCTGAGTCCTGTTGGAGAAGGGCGGTATACAAATTGAAACAAATAAAATAAATAAATTAAATAAATAAATAAATATGCCGCCCTTCTCCGGAGACTCAGGGCGGCTTACAATGCGTTAAGCAATAGCCTTCATACTTTTGTATATACCTGCTTAGTAGGGCTTTCGGGGCCCCCAAGTGGTGTTCTTTTATATACAAAGTCAGCTTATTGCCCCCACAATCCGGGTGCTCATTTTACCTACCTCGGAAGGATGGAAGGCTGAGTCAACCTTGAGCCTGGTGAGATTTGAATTCGCAGTAATTGCAGGCAGCTGGCAGCTAAGTGCTACTTAACAGTACTTGAGTCCGCTGCACCACCAAGGCTTCTTTACACTCAGTCATAAGAACCATTGTAAGGTAAAGTTTTGAGGTATGATTTCATAGAAAGATAGGTTTATCCTTTCTAAAACAAAGAAAGTTGTGCTAGTAGTACTCTGGTCTTCTGGAGAGCTGTGATTGTTGGTGATCAGTCATTGGAAAGGAAGTATAAGAACCTGTTGTTCACGGCCTCCCCGTGTTGTTCTGTACTCTAAGCAATGTTCATATTGTAGGTGGTTCCTGGCTACGGACATGCTGTACTGCGGAAGACAGATCCCCGCTACACCTGCCAGAGAGAATTTGCTCTCAAGCATCTTCCCAAAGACCCTCTCTTCAAGCTAGTAGCCCAGTTATACAAGATTGTCCCTAATGTGCTTCTGGAGCAGGGAAAGGCCAAGAATCCTTGGCCCAATGTGGATGCACATAGTGGAGTCCTGCTACAGGTGAGTTGCCACTTCTAATATCTTTCCTTCTTGCAGGATGGGGTGGAAGACTTGTACTCATGCATCCAGATTCAAACTGAAAGGAATGGTTGTGCTGAATGAAATTGTGGTCACAAAGGATGATATTCAGAGAATGTATTGTAGAAGGTGCTATGGTATTCTTGTATCCTAATAGTTCGGAGAAGCTTCTCAGGCACTATCTGATTAGTCAAAGAAAATTTGATCAAGAAACGTCAGCCAGTGTGAACTTACCCATAACTGAGGGAAATTTGTGTATGTTATCAGACTGTCTCAGCATTTAGCTTTCTCTACCTATTTCGTTGCTCTTTTCCTCCTTAATGGCTAATTTCCAAACATTTGAAGATAAATAGTTTGAAGCTCCATAGCCTCCTGATTTCATGCCTGGTGCCTTAACCACTGCATCAAATGCTGACACAGAAATAATCCATGGAAGGGTTTTTTTGCAACATGAAAACATGCAAGTCATTTTCTTCTTAGTAGGTTTAGATTGATGTGCTAGGTTGTCCAATAAAATCAGACTATAATGAAATAAAAATGACCAAAATCCTTTTCTGCTCAATTGCCAAAATCACTCTGAAGAGGGATGTGCTTGCATCTTTCATATTACATTCTTTCGAAAGGCAGGCTCACTTGAATTAGACATTTTTTTAGTGGGAATGAATGTTGTTTTGAGCAGGCATTAGGTATGAAAAGAATGAGGAGACTCTGAAAGACATGCAGCAGGACCAACATCCCAGCCAGCCTTAAGTTAATTAGGAAGAAAAACATACGAAATAATACCCTTCCCTCTTGTTTGGATTGTATGTGGAAATATTGCTGGGCTGCCTTCTAACCATTACTCTTTTCCCACCCTCTCTGCAGTACTATGGCATGAAGGAGATGAACTACTACACTGTGCTGTTTGGTGTGTCTCGGGCCCTCGGCGTTCTGTCGCAACTCATCTGGAGTCGGGCCCTGGGCTTCCCACTGGAGAGACCAAAATCCATGAGCACAGATGGGCTGATGGTGCTTGTGGGTGCAAAGTCTGGTTAAAAGCAAGGGAAGCGGCAGGGGTTTTAGAACTATTGAGGGAATGATAGAGACAATGCAATTTTTTTTGTGTTTGTTCAAAGGGCCTTGAAAAGATCCTTCCTTAGAGGCACTGGCCATCACTTTTTTCCAGGTTATTTATGAAATAAATGCAGATAAAGCTAGTTTCTTATTACACCCCCCCCCTCCTCCACACATTACCTTGTCACCAAAAGTTAGATTCAGAAGGGCAAGGCCTCCCTCCCATGTCCCTCTCTCCACAGGCAGCTCTTCCCAACCTGAGCTGATGCCCAAAGCTAAAGAAAGTGCTCCTTTCCAGTTCAGATTCTTTTTCATTGCCCCAAGTTGTACCACTAGGAGTAGAGGACACACTGCCCCTTTCTACAATCATGTCATTACCACACACTGTGTTGAACCATCTCTCATCTCCATACAGATGGGGTGTTCTGCATTTGAACAATGTGCTCCTTTTTAAGCCACCTTGGAGTGTTGTTTTTTTATCAGTGAGTGAGAGGGAGGGATGGTCCTCTCCTTCAAGATGTCCAGCCTTCTTCCCATTCTGTGCTATTTTTATTCTGTTATAGTGTGAAGCAATGGATTTATGTTCTTAAAAAGATAAAAGATGCCGGCACAGCTGAGGCTTGAGCCACCGCATTAGTGTGCTGAACAAATATCGCTTACCTCTTTGTCTAACAAAGAGGGACAGTTTGCTTTTTTTCTCCTCAAACTACCACAATACCCGATTGTCTGGATTCCCTTTGGGCCTACGCTCTTCCTCCTCAAAAATCCTGATTTTGTGTGGGTTGGTGCTTTGTTTCCCAAATCAGAGCTATAGCGATAGCTATAGTCAGGAACAAAGCGGCACCTTATGTTGGAAACCTTTTTCTTGTATTTTCTTTCCCCCTCACCATTAACTTCCGTGTCATAGCAGTGAAATTGAAAAAGTGGAGGGGAGGTTGCCTAAAATATTGGTAATGCTTCTATAATTGCAGTTGTGAACGTGCTGCAAAGTGGCATTAAATCAGTTGCCACCATTTTGAGACAAAGTCTGCCTCCAGGCCTCCTTTCCTCTCTTGAAAGGACCTCATACACTCCTACCAATGTTTGTTTTTCTGTGTTCGTGGGAAATCCTTTGTCCTATAACCTCAAGAAAAAAAAAAAAACCCTCCACTTAAGCTGAAGATGCAGGGTAAGTGCCTGTGTAAGCATCAGCTTCCGTTGCAAACTTTGGATGGTTCTGTATAAACTGAAAAATAAATGTTTTTATTAACAAGTTACAGTGACGTCGTCCTTTTTCTCCACCACTACCACCTCCGTAAAACATGTAGCTTTTATCTCTGGAGCTTTTTACCATTGGCCTCATGCGCCCCCCCCCCAATTTTGACCAGAATATTTGATTTCTTTACAATACTGCAGTGAGACAGTAAATGGAATAACAAAAGCTGCTACACGTGGATAGATGGGGCAGCTCTGTGAACGACTGAATAGGGAGAAGAGCTGGCCTGTGTAGTTTTTCCTTTCGTTGTTTCATATCTACCTGCTTTGGACGTAGCAACATTTGGGATCCTGAAAATGAGCAATACTATGTTATCTGATTCTGCTTTCTTGTTGATTTTCTCACTACTTCCATCCTGAAATCTGACTTTTTGCTCTTTGAAGAAGCCCGGATCAGAAAGCAGTAGGGAAACTTCTGATTTGTTTGCTAATCAGGGATCTTGCATATCACATAATAGCTAAATCACAAATGGTTTCCTTTTTTTCATTTGGCTCCTTCAGCCAACCAGAAATATACATGTATGTACTTGCTTGATCCTCATGAAATTATGTCTGAGTTGATGCTCTTGCCATTTCCCTATATGGAATATTTGTACAGTTGCTTGTCACCAAAGTAGAAAGATAATGCTAAATGTTAGATTTGGTTTTATCTCAATTCCTTTGAGATGGCAGTATTGATTTTCCATTCTAGGCTGATTGGAGAGAGTTAAAAATGTGAATGGGAGCAACGGTTCCCCATATCTAAATTAAATGTGGTCCTATCTTTGTTTCTGAAAGATGTATTGCCAAAATTTGGTAATTTGCCGTAATATTTCAGGGGCACACAGATGAATGTTCTATGTTCCAGACGCAAATCTTCCCATGTTGATATTAAAAAAGTACATCAAAGTAGTTTTGGGTACAAGATCATACATTGTTTTGTGTGACAAATTGTACATACAATAATTTTCTATGCTATACAGCACTCCTTTGTTTTATTCAATATTCTGCATTCACATGCGGTATTCAAACAAACTAAAATGTTGATGCACAACCTACAGTAAATTGATTCATTGTTTCTTACAAACTCAGAAAAAAACATAGTGGTTGTAGACTTTTGGCTGCAGGCTTGTAGATGTAATTAGATCTTCCAATCAAATCAAGACCTCAATTCAACTTGTGAACAAACTTTTTTTTTTGTCCTTGAAGTGCATAGTGCACACTGGCAGGAAGTCAACATCTGCTGTAGATGGTTGGATGTACGCCATAGTGGGGAATGAAATTCAGCTGGAATGAACTTCCCAGAAACATTCTATAAATAACCCGTCTCTTGTGGACACGCCAGAAAACAGAGGCTATGTTTGAACATTCAAATCACTATAGTTGTTTGTTTAATCCAGCAGCATCATAGAGTTAAGTAAACACATTAATGAAAAAAGCATTTGATAACAGGTTTCCTCTGAATAGCACCATTTTGCATTACTGTATAGGCTATCCTATTTTGAATGTTTTTGCTTTAAAGAAATCTATTGCTGAATTTGAAACTTCTATTGTGAGCTTTGGTTTAATAAGCTCAAAGATAAAGATGTGTATTTTATTCTGAGATTAGGTTGACTAACCGGACAGGAATCAAGATGAGAAGCACTTTAAAATGCACATTCAATTATCTATTCAGCTTGTTTTAAAACAGTTTTTTTTTGGGAAATGTTGACACACAACCCGACAGTTGAAAGCTGCTTTTTATGACACTTATCTTTAGGGTGAAATGTACAGCAGTATGTTTTCTATGTGTCCGGAAAGTGAGCTCACTAAAATAGTGGTATTTCAATAAGCAAAAGTGTATATATGTAATTATAGACTAGTTCACATACCACACATAAAGCCATAGGTAATAGCGCTCAGACACTGAAAGAGTTAAGGGGGAAAGCTGAGCTATCAATCCCACATGAATGGGTCCATACAAATTAAATTCCAAGGATCCAAACAGGAGTGGAAGGATTCTCTCTAGTGGGATTTTGCTTTATTATTTATTAAATTTATATGCCACCCATCTCACTATCAGATGACTGTCATTAATCCAATTGGAGTGCTCTCTATTGAAAGCCAAGTAACAAAAGACTCAACTCCAATTTTGACTGGAAATTTTGCAGCATGCTAGGGACCACTGGAGCTAAATGTCGCATAGGTTTTTATAAACTACAATTGAAGCTATTGAGATACTTGTCTGTGTGCATGCATGTCGCTGGGAGTCAGGCAAAATGTTAATATTCTTCAAATGGCTGACCAATTTCATTCAGCTCAAGTAATTTTTTCTTTCAACACATTTCTAGTTCTTTGATCTGAATATGCATAACAAAGGTTTGAATTCTTAATAAATCAGCAAGACATCTTCTGGGGAAACGGGAGTTCACTTTCAGTAAACATTCCCCAGATTCTTCAGCTACTGAAGAAAAGGTAGCAGGATTCTACTTCCGCCTGAATAAATCAAAGCAGTGAAGTGGCCAGTGGCAACATTAACAAATACTTTCTCCAGAAGTTGTGAGCATGGCTTTAGGTACAGAAACCTTGAAGGGTTCCAGAAGTCTCAATCTGAAACATCCCATGCTTCTAGGGATGCATAAACTGTGTTAACATGCCTACATCATGTCTTGGCTTGGATATAGTTGCCTATACTACAGTTCCACAGTGTTTGCTGTCTCTCTTCTATGCAAAATCAGTGCTTGATGTCCACTTCTTGTAAGGCCAGTGCTAATTAGCCTCACCTGCACTTCAGTGGGTGGCTATCAGTTTTGTAAAACAGTTCAGTGCTCATCATTTCTCATATAGAATTGAGGGCATGAGAGAGTACAAGCACTCAGGCCTCCCATAATTCCAGAGGATAGCAGTGGTTGAAGTAGGCCTACACTAGAAGGGGAATTTTGCTGTCCGCATTTAGCAACTGCATTCTAATGTCCCACGACCCATAAGATGTTCTGCTGACTTTCAACACATCCCTGCCCTCATATAAGCCACAACATCTCATGGGGAATCGCTGCATCTTTTCGCAAACATATTTTATTAGCCCATAAAAATGCAGTGGGGATTGTTCAGTTTTTCAATAATCAAATAAGGAAAAAGGATAGGGGAAAATAATTTCATTTACTGTGCATGATTCTGTCTACTCTTTTTGTCTACAAACATCCTTTCTTTACAGTGTGAGGTAGCACGTACCAGGCTAAGGAACATAAGACAGCTAATTCAATAAAAATATGTGCAGAGGGAGAAAACAGAAGGCACAAATTTAAGACATCTGTTTTGACAAAGGACAGCAGCAAAATTAGGCATTTAATACAGACGGACTTGAGAAAACTCATATTCTTCAGGTTCATTAGATGGCAGCAAATAAAACACCAGAGCTAAACTACAACCGGTAGGAAACTTCAGGAACAAGATGTAAAAAAAAAAAAAAAAGCACCTGGGCAGGACAGCCTGCTTATCTCACTTTATAAATTGGTTAACTATGCCACAACACCCGATTTTGGTTGTGTGCCTAATTTAACATCCAAATGGTTTCAGTGGGACTCTTGTTCAAGTATCTGGATCTGCATAAAAGCTATTTCAGTGGAGGTGGTCACAATTACAATTACTGCAATGATTCCAAGGATTTCATTTAGAATAATTTAAAATAAAAGCTGCAACTCTGAATCCTGTTCCTTGAAAAAAGGTTCTAATATATTTCAAGATTAATTTGCCTGTCAGTGACTAAAAATAGCCACCATGCCTTCATTAACAGCCAGATTTGGTCCCCTCTTGGCAAATTAATGGATGCACAATTACCTCTTAGTTTTAGGGGCACCCACCTGTGCTAAAAGGGGCCTCTGTGACGTTAGCATTCTTCATAGTGACTATTATAACAAAACAATTGTGTGAGATATATCTTCTACTCACCAACAAACCAGCTTTGTAGAGCAACAGCTGTTCTCAGCATGAAAAACAAAGGCAGACAATCCTGGCGCTGGTGGGTAGGTGCCTCCCTGTACTGTTATTCAGAAATCAAATTGATGCCAGGGCAAGTGTTATTCTAAACTAGCATTCTAGGATTTCTATTACTGAACAATATGGATGTTGCATAATGCTGCATTTTATAATCTTGAAATTACAGGAGGCAGCAACAAGATCCCTAAGTGGCTTGCTTGCTTTCTGAGATTCTTAAACATCGTTGTTCCTAGCAACTGGAAACTTTTTAAAGAGAGAATACTAGGTTTCTTTGGAAACTGATTTCTACATACATCAAGCTCTTGTTTGGTTTGGTTTTTACGAGAAGAGCAATAGTGACACTTAATCAAAGCAGTAAGCCTGCTGCTGTCAAAACTTAATCTTCCTCTTGGACTGTTGCACAGCTATCTAGTTGTTCTAAACATGAGCAGTCCTTAATATGATTATACAGAAGTCTAACCATGTTCAGCAGGATTGAATTTCAAGGAAGCATGAATAGAGTTTGCAGCTTTGGTCAGTTAAGGTGACCGAGAATAGTTATTTCAAAATCCTTGGGGGAAGTGTTTGTTCTTTTAAGTTGCATTATTATTAATATCAGTATATCAACTGTTTTAAAATGCTTATTTCTCATAGTATAGAAACGCAGCTGAAAAAAGCTACTACAGCAGGGTTAGATGGGATTTGAACATGCCGTGTTCTTCCAGACAATAACTGAGCTTCATTAAAATATATACTGTATTCAGATCTTTCAGTGCGTTGCTTACAGCTCATGCATACAGCGTGAAAGTCTGCCATGCATTACTAGATTTAAATTCAAAGGCTCTGTTCTGTGTCACTGAAATTTACTATTTACTATTGGCCCAACTGCTCATCCTCCTTGTATAACAAGGGCAGCTAGTCAGGAAGATTTCTATAAATTTGCTGGGTCTTTTTTTTTTCTTTTTAAAATCATAACCCAAGATGCCATCTGCTGAGGAAGACAGAATGCTAACATAACTTAGATTTTGTTAGACTGTTCAGATATTTGAAATTTCCTAGGAGCGATTTCACCACTCTTAAAAAGAGGGGTGGGGGAGAGAGAAGATACTTTTTCAGGCAAGCATTCCTCATTTAAAAACACAAACACAATCTTGCCTTCTTAAGCCTGAGATTTAAGAAAAAGACTACTGCAGGCTGTGCCCTCTGTTGTGGAAGCTTGCCATGCATGGTACACAATGACAAACCAAGATAAAGAGCAAGTCAACGACCTCAAAGCATTTTACAGGAATTAAGCAGTTGATGAGTTTGAGAGGGTGGGAAGGAAGAGGAGCTTATTTAAATATGAATGATGATAGCTGGGAATTTGCTGAGAAAAAGGTAGCTGTTATAGGGCCCAATCCACATGACTCTGCCATGACAGTGGAGCCAACGCTCAAAAGCCAGGAGTGGCAGAGAAATGGCAGCTGAACTGATTCATGGGAATTACCTCAAAGCCAAGCTGCTTTGCAGCAAGCAATTCCTTCCAAAGTTTGGCAACAGTTACAGTCCACACACAGAAGCAGCCAAGGCAGATTTACGTCCAGTACATCAAAGGAATCTGCTTCCGTGACAGGCACCCCAAGTAATGTTCTATCTTCCCATGGATCTATGCATATGACTCACTCCTCATTACTCAAATCTGAAAGGCTTTTTATCTATGACAAATTAAGTCTGGAGATTCTAATCCTAAGGAGAAAGTTCTGAGGAAAAATCATTGTAGTCACATATCCCCACTGAGCCATTCCTTCAACAGAATACTTGCTTCCTCCTACCCTGTAAACACTCCCCAGGCAAAGGCTTCTCAAAATGCACAACCAAGGGGGAGTTTACTAACCTGTGGCACATTGAAGCACGGCCTGACTTTTAGGCATATTATTTTAGACCCACCCACCCTACCCCAAGGAAAACATTTATTCATTTTTATGAGTTTACATTGATACCCAGCCCTTTCCATAAAAAAATATACATATACTGATCCACTAGTATTTCTCTCGCACGCCCCCAAAGTTGCCTCTTCACCAAACTGCACATTCACACACACCCAGAATTTTTAGCATCACACTCAGGATGACCCAAGCCTACAGGATAAAGGAGACATTAGAAGGAGCTTATTCAGTCCTTCCACAGAAACATAGCCGCAGTGGCACTCTCTTCCTAGCCTTGGCAATCCTGCACCCACGTGGTTTGTGCAAATAGTGCTTTAAACAAAAATAAAAATTCCTTGGGTAACTAGAAAAGGGACGGAGGGTTTATACCAAGCTAGGCAACACAAAATTAGTGTTAATGGAGCGGGAAAAGGGAGGGTTTGGGGTATACCCACAATGGGGATATAAGTAAGTTACAGCAGCCAGGAATTGAGTTCTTTCATGCTTGGAGCTGGTTCACTGAAGATTCCGGCTAAATTTCTTCCCACAAACTGTTTGGAGACGTGATGCTCAATTGCTCCTCTCCCACATTCACCCTGGAAGCTTCATCTTCACTGAACCACAACGGATACAGCCATTCATGGCACAGAAAGATGTGATGGAAGACAAACTGTAGTTTCGAAGAGACGGGAACTGTTTCTTCAAAGCAGAAGCCTTCAGCCTGCTAATGCCATTTTCCAGTCTCTTCTTGCAGAGCAGCATAGAGAGGTGGAGCTGGATAAACTGAAACAGCCAGTTAGGTTATAGAGTGGCTTTGCTGATCCTGGCTGCTGAATTATTGAAGTGCTTGCCATCAAAACATTGCTCGTAGGGTAACATTTGAGTTTTAAAACTGGTATGAAATCGTCTTGGAAGGCTGGACATTACAAGCTGGACGTTAAAGAAAGCTTCAGTGGTCCTGCAATAGGAAGGACCACTCTCTTTTCCCCTCACATTCCTTCCTATCTCAAAAGTACTTTCATTAAGACCAACATCTATTTTCTAAAATAATCTCAAACCCCAAAGAAAGCCTTTCCTTAGCCCCCATCATTCCCTCAAAAAGGCACTCACTGAGCAGCTAAGTGGCTGCCATTTCTTTCTGACCTAAGCCAATGATGAAAAGGAAAGGTGGAAAAACCCAATGTATCACTGACTGCCAAAACCACCCTCGGGGCAACAACTGTAGGCCATTCTCTCTTATCAAGAAGTGGACTGTTAAGTTATTTTCCTTTAAAACATATTTTAAGAGGCACAATTTTCAACTGGTCTTCCTTAGGCCCACTGAAAGAACTTAAATGAGTTTTTGCTACCTCTTTCTCAAGAAGTCAAGGAACAGCACAAACTACAATCTAAGGCAGCCACAGTGGTATGTTTCATAGAAAGAAGCTTCAAATAAAGTATGCTAAAAAGAAAAGAACCCAGCATAAAAGCCCAGTCAGGTAAAATAAAAGTGAAGACTGAGACATTGCTCCAGAGGTAACGTGGCACTCTGACCCTTTCCTTAGGAATAAGTCTTGGTCATCACACCAGGCCCAGTGGATAAATTAAACAGGATATCAGGAGAAACCAAATAAATAGATAAAAACAAACAGCTGGGGATGCTACAAGCAAACACCCAACTTCAAGTGTCCGCAGAGTGACCAAAGCAGCAGGCACCCTTCACGTCTGATGGACTTTGTGGAACATGAGTTCTTGAGGAATATTGGTCTCAGGGCCATAAGTCTTCGCTGCCCGGCGCTCAAAGGCTGCCACCATCTGCTTTACTACCTCATCGAAAAAAACGGTAGCCAACTGCGAGTGCAGCAGGGAACGAAATTCAAAAGAGATCTGAGGAAAGAGAACAGCACATTGGACTACCGTGAAGATTGTTTTTCTAAAGTGGAGCTAGGGTATTTTACAATGAGAAAGCCCCTTCCCCTCACTCCAGAGGAAGGGCTAGAAAAGATTTGCTATGGAAGAATAATTTTGAAATTACAAGTCAGGAGAGACTGCAAAAAGCATTCTTAAGAAGAGCAGGAATAACAAATACACTTATAAAAACTATGTACAACTACTTGCTGAAAACTGATGAGGCTCCAATACTTTTTTGTACCTCCTATAGAAATTGCCCAGGGGTGTATTACTATGAAAATAAATTGGGATGGCCCATCAGACATCTGCTGATCCATCCATCTCTAGTTGGGTCTTGAGGCAGAAGCAGAAGTTGGGCATCAAGAGTGGCCCTAAGCACAGAGCGACAGTGTCCAGCTGGATGACACAGAACCCCAAAGAGTTCCTGTTTATGACACACATGTAGCTAAAGGTTGACTATTAGAAATACCACTTTCTCTAGCAAAGTCAGAACTGCCAGAGAACTAAGTCAGCAAGTGCCATAAATGCAGCGCTTGGCTGATTTGTTCATATTTTACCTATGCTTAGCACTTAGACTTACATACTACTTCACACTGCTTTAAAGCCCTCTTTAAGCAGTTTACAGAGTCAGTATATTGCTGCCTCCAGCAATCTGGCTCCTCATTTTACTGACCTTGGAAGGATGGAAGGCTGAGTCAACCATGAGCAGGTCAGGATTGAACTGCTGGCAGTTGGCAGAATTAGCCTGCAATGCTGCATTATAATCACTGTGCCACCACAACTCTGGTGGCTCCTTATGTTTCGTCTATAAAACCAAGATTCTAGTGGAAATGGATTTGGCAAGGAGATATAGCTAAGGTTGTAACCCAATGGGATGTGTGGTGCAGGATTTCCATACTCATCCAGGTATTGAGGTGGTTTCTTACTTTTACACACTATAGCTCCCACAACTAGAGGAGCCACAGGGGCATCTACTAGGTGGACTACCTTTGGGAAGTATAGAGCTTGGAGGCCCAGAGAAGTAACATACCTCAATGACCTTAGAGTTCCCTACTCTGCTTCAAGGAATTCATTCAACAGCTCTAGGAAAAGGAGGCTTGTAGGAATGTTCAGTATCAGAAACATCTCTGCCATCAGAATATGATTCTAGTTCCTTCACAACTAGGATCTTACAGACCCTTCCCAGTAGTAATGGAAACTCACCTTTTTAAAACCCTGATGGACGCAGAGTCCCCACATCAGTCCTCATTTATGCAAGAACTAATGAGCTGGTGAGGAATCCCATTAACCTTTGTGTGCTTACCGCGAAGTCCAGGGTACACGTACGAGGATAGCCTGGAATGCCAGGACTGAAACGCCAGCTTGTCTCCAGATGATTGAAAAGCTTCCCATCAGTGCAGATTGCCTGAGGAAAATAACAGCAAAGATTCATGTTGACAGTAAAGCTCACACAATGTGAATTAGCCAAACTGATCCCCTCCAGATACGTTGGCCTACAATTCCCAGAATTCTCCTCAACATGGAGGACAGCAAAATGGAGTATGCCAATAAAATGCAGGAGTTCCTAGCCCACTCTAACAGCAGCAGCTCTGGATAAGGATTTACCCACCAACCTGCATATAAAACAGGTATCTCATGTCTGCCTCATGAGTATGTTGCTTCACATGTCACATTTATGGCAAAAGATTTCCTGTTGAGCACTTTCAATATTTTTAATTTCTATTAAGTGTTCTCTCAATGCCAGTGCCACCACGTTAATCAAACCTCCCTCCAAATTATCTGGGGCATCAGGAAAAATTAATTATGTAATGCTCATTATTATTTTGTCATTGCAACACTGAAATATCAGCAGCCTGGTTAGCCCATAGATATACAACTCACCTTTACCAAGTGAGGTTGCACCAGTGTCACAATAGAGGTGTAACGTTCCACAACAGGAGGGAATCCAACTTCCAGCTGGGCCCTCACATGACCTGCTCGCTTAGAGACCACAGTTGATTTTTTACACCACGGAACAAATTCCTTATATTCATTCACGTTGGCCACAACACCATACATTTCCTGCATGGAATAACTGCAGATAAAGAGAGAGTGACTCTTTAAGTTACGTATGTCCACAATGATGCACATGTCCACAATGACACAGGCACATGCGCTTCAAAGGATGTTGGAATATTTATTATGCTGTGGAACATAAAAAAGGAAATTTTTCAAAATTGCATTTCTTCTCTTCTCAGATCCAGGCTTATGGATTATTATCCTTATGTTTTAGAAGAGAATGGAAGAAAATAGGATGGACGTTTCATTTACTTATTCCCTTAGATTCCATTGTATCTAAGAGAAATAATGTATAAGAAATAGAACCTGGTCCCTTCTATGATTGATATATTCTGCTGTTTGACGATTTTATGCATTCTGTTATTCAAGACAGGCAGTAAATTATTTAATATAATATCTTCCTCTCTCCAAATCTTGCAAAGCTCTGAATCTTATTCATTTTTTACTTTATAGGTATCTGTATTAAAAAAAGAAGAAATTTGAAATAATTTATTATAGCATAAGACAAAGTTTGTTAAAAATGTGGAACCTTCTAAAAGCAAAGATAAGTCTGCCAATCTCACCATTAGCTTTATTGTCAAATGCCTATTTCAAGGACAACTATTATACAGTGAGAAAGGTTTAATTACTTATGCACATATGGTACAAAACATCTAGACTCAGAAAAAAGACTAAACATGTAGAGAAAACTGCTCAGCATGGGTACAAATTTACTATGATTGGTGTATTTACAAATTGCTGGGAGGATAAAATTGATTTCAAGAAAGGAGGAAGAACCTTGAGAAAAATACAGAAGTTGGAGCAATTATACAAACCCAAGATCATCTATGGGGATCATCTATTATAACTATAAATGGTTATTGAAATATGACATAGAAATGGAACAAATTAAAAAAATGTATAATAAAATCAACACAAAGCTTCAAAGAAGTAACTACAGCACAACAATGAGAAAAGTAGAAATATTTAGGTTAGCTGTTAGGAAACAAATGGAAAGGAAGGGGAGAAAGTATTGACTAAAACTTATTTCTAGAATCTTTTTACTCTAATTTTTTTCTTTGTACTCTGCATTCTTAACTTTCTAAAAATCTAAAACCTTAAAATTAAAAAAAATATAAAAGCAATAAGATCTTTGATACAGAACTGGCAGAGAGAAGGAGGCAGAAAAAATGGAGCAGGAGAGAAGGTAACGGAAGGAGGGAAAGTCATTGGGATTCTCTCTTGATCAGCAAATTCTCCCAAATACTTTCCCTGCTTATGAAACTGCAGAAGCGCTCTACCAAAAAGATCTCACAATCTTGGATGTGATTGCAGCAGTGCAGAAACCTGCTACAAATGAAGAAATACATAAAATCCACCTTTCCAAATCACTTATCAAGTGCACGCAAAGTTCAGCTCTCTTGTTGATAACACATTCCTAATTGCTGCAGAGGAAGCTAGGCAGAATGAATATGGTGGTAAATGGAGAATAGTCATAGAAGATAAGGCTAGAAAGGGCTACCGGCCAATCATTGTGTGTTATCTATAGATTCCAAGTATCAAGACAGCTGGGAAGACTAACAAAATGGCCATCCAAGTTAATTCTTCCCTTCCCATGAGCTGGGCAGAATTTAAGCTAATTAATCCCTGATTAATCAATTAAACTAATAACAGTCTAGGTCATAAATCTGCATGTAACAGCTCCTGTTCTGGCTCTTGATTTTACATCTCCAGCTCTGCATGTGTATGAGAAGATAATACCTCGTGGAGAGTACAAGGGGATTGGTGGTACTGTTATGTTGAAGCAGACAGCCTGCAGTTTCCTCAAGAGTTTGCTGATTATGTACAGTACAGGTAGTCCTCAACATACGACCACGATGGAGCCCAAAATTTCTATTGTTAAGTGAGACATTTGTTAAGTGAGTTTTGCCTCATTTTACGACCTTTCTTGCCACAGTTGATAAGTGAATCACTGCAGTTGTCACGTTAGTAACACGTTTGCTTGTCAGAAGGTCACAAAAGGTGATCGCATGACCCAGGGACAGTGCAACCGTCATAAATATGAACCAATTGTCAAGTATCCAAATGTAAATCACATGATCACAGGGATGCTGCAATGGTCATGTGTGACAAATGGCCGTAAGTCATTTTTTTCAAGTGCTGTTGTAACTTCGAACAGTCACTGAACCAACTGTTGTAAGTCGAGGATTACCTGTATTGCTTTAGCTTGCTGTAAGATGTGGTTGGTCACCAGGGTGGATTTGATTTAAATCGAGTCGATTTAAAATTTAAATTTAAATCACTAGTAAAAAGACTTGATTTAAATCAACTCGATTTAAATCATAATTTTTAAAGAGCAACTGTCATCTCTGCTACTCCTTTGACCCGCTGTTGACTCACCGATAGTCCCAGTGTTGCAGAATATACAGCCTCATGCTACATAACTAAGCTCCATTTCATGCTGAATAAACTAAATTATTTATGTATCTTAAATAGAAAACTATCTTACGATAGATTTTTACCCCAAAAGTTTATTATTAAAATAAATTCAATAAAAATAAAAAAAAATCTGATTTAAATAAAAAAATCTGATTTAAATTAAAAAAATCTGATTTTTTTGATTTTTTAAAAAAGATCATTGATTTTTATCCACCCTGTTGGTCACTGTGGGAAAGAGGACACAGGATTAAGGCAGACCATAACTTGAATACCACAAAATTCTCTGCCTTGTGTTTTTATTCCTTTCATTAGAAATAGGTCCTCTTCGGTGGCTGTGGACAATGAAATTTCTAGCCTTAAAAACCTAGAGTTCTATATAGGTTACTATTACCAAAGGAAATGCTTGTGTAGGTCATGCAAAATGATATTCGAGATGTGCACGTTTTCCCTCCATCACAAAATCACCCTCCTGCAAGCCATGTCAGCTCACCCAATGATCCTCCTCTCTGAATATTCCTTCCGTTTGTTGATGAAAGGTCCTGTAAAGCTGATAAATGTCCGGCTGTGCTGACCACTGAGATCCCAATCAAGACTGCTGATAGTATGAGGGTCTCGGATCACCAAATTCCCACAGCATGGCATATACCTGGAACTGAAAGATCCTCAGGATTAGCTGGCCTGAATAGAAGTCTACCAAACTTTCCCAGAGGCTAAATTCAATATCCTTTGATCTTGAATAACTTAACAGATGCGTCACCCACTGATTCAGAAAGCTGCAAGTAAAGTAAGTTACAAGCATGACCTAGTATGGTGTCCTGGACTGAAGACCTACATGGACATTGTGGGTAAATCTTCATAGATAATATAATGTGCGGAGGGAAGTTCTGATTTATCTTCAGTTGATTTTCACAATCATATGAAATACACACAACACATACTACAACTATGGAGTAATTAACTTCTAAGGGCAAATGCTCTTGTTCCTCTTGAGATGTAGGAGGGGTAGAGGAAAAGGACTGTAAAAGTCATAGTCTATGAATTTCAGAGGGCCTCTTGATTACCCTGTTTCCCCCAAAATAAGACATCCCCTGATAATAAGCCCAATCGGACTTTTGAGTGCATGGCAATAAGGCCAAGCGCTTATTTCAGGGTTCAAAACAATAAGACAGGGTCTTATTTTCGGGGAAACACAGTATCTATTTCTCATTCTGAAATTCTTATATCTCTGTATCTGCAATTCCTCAGATTATCATCTCTGTACTTGTGAAAATTAAACTTAATAGCATTGGGCAAACATTACCCTTTTCCCCAAACTACAAATTGTTCAACAGAGTTACTACAATCTGAATTTCGTCATAAATGTCAGGATACATTGCATATATCAATACCATCCTTCACTCCTGCAGAAATTGGAAAAGTGAATCTGATCACATATGCATTTGTGTAAATCCTTGGCTGCTGCTTATTTTACAACTTGTTGTCAGAGAGCAATTTTAGATACAAGTTCAATGCTATTAAAGAAGACGGCTAAATGTGTTTTCAAAAGCAGCCTTAACAGGCACAGAGAGCAAATCATTAATTAATAAAGCAGAGGTCTTCAAACTTGGCAGCTTCAAGACTTGTGGACTTCAACTCCAATAATTCTCTGGGAGTTGAAGCTATGCTGGCTGGAGAATTCTGGGAGTTGAAGTCCACAAGTCTTAAAGCTGCCAAGTTTGAAGACCTCTGTAATAAAGAGTCACTTCTCTTCTTCTCATGTCACTTTGCAGCCCCACCTCTGTTGCCACCGCTGATCACCTGCTGTTCAGGCTGACCCCAGATGATCAGACTCAGCAACCTGAGAGGTACAGGGAGAAAGCCCGCCTGAGAAAAATTGGAATTGTTTGCTACCCACTGCAGAATAGTCCAGAAGATGGTGTTTAGGGACTGTAGAAGAATCATGCCAGACCAATCTGAGTTGGCCAATGGTGCTGGGCTGATCCCATCTCCAAAGATCCTCTCTTTGCACCACCGAAAGAATGGTGCATCTGATTGAATCCATGGCAAAACTTGTATCATAATAACAGGAAGAATATTACTTTAAGGATGACTTGCCTCTATGAGGCCAAAATTGTGAGGACACAATAGGAAAAAAAAGAAGACATTGCTGAGATATAGTTGTGTTGCAGTTAGCTGCAACTGAGGATAGGATCTTAAGATGTTGGCCTCCTCACCTCTTTTGCTTTTTGAATGGCAAGGTCTTTCTGCCCGAAAAACCCTACATTCAACAGCTGAGTCCCAACTGGAACTATTAATTAAATTAAATTTATACTTTAATTAAAGAAGTGGTAGCAATTTTCCTCCTCGATTTTCTACGCTGCTTTCTAAAATTCAGTTGGGAGGAATGAGCAGCCAGGCATTTCCTTCCATGTTGGCCAGCTTCTATCTTGTTTGCAGGCCAGCTTAGCTTAACTTACATAATTATTGCCAGTGAGCCCTCCCCCAGCAGGCAGCTAAGCTGTTTTTTCAACAAGTAAATATTCAGGATGCCAAGTGGAAAGGCTATCTATGAAAAGAGGGAGAGTTTCCCTGTCAGATTTAATGTCACCAGAGGTTTAAAAAAATGCCTTTTGCTTGGATCGACAAGCTTGCAGGCTACTTAAAACCAATGAATCGAAGGAAAGTCCTTGTACGTCCCCGCTTTGGTTTGAATGTCATCACGAGCAAGATGGGTCTGCGATAATGTGTGCGTCAGAAAGCAGCAGTCAAGTTTTCTTTATCACAACCTTCTCCAATCTGGTGCCCTTGAGATGCATTGGACTACAATTTCTATCATCAACATGCTGGCTGAGCATAATTAAAACTTGCATCCTAACACATCTGGAGAGCTAAAAGTGAGAAGCTGCCTTAATGCCTTTTATTTATTTATTTGTTCAACTTGTATGCCGCCTTTCTCCGAAGACTCAAGGCGGCTGAATTTCATAAATTAAAATGTACCACAGTACCACGGATGCCACTAGAGCTAAGACAAAAAGAGGTGTGGCATTTAACTTCGAAGACGTACAAAGAGTATACTGCAGCATAGTCAAGGACAAAAAGAATGCGGAAAGAATGGCAATTACGGAATAGCTGCCCGGCAGGTTAGCTAAGACATTTACTTGGGAACATTGCCAAGCAAGCCATTGTGAATAGGAACATTACGTAAAAAAAAAGTTAAAGCAACAGTAATCCTGTAGACACCACAAATGAATTTCTTCATCTGGCATAATCACTTGAAGGAAGGAAGTTTTAAATGCCGTCAGTTTGTTCCCCACAAAGTTCATTCTGATACTAAGCTGCATCTACCAGCACCAGCGACTTGTGGGCATCCAGAATCCTTATCTCAATCTATGCTTTGCCTGGAGATTTTTCACCAGACCCTAAGTTTGAAAGTGAAGTCTCAGCCTGGTGCAACAGGATAGCACAGCAAAACAGTCAGAGAGAAAGACATGAATACTGCAGAGTAACAAACATTTAGGAATAGTTAAGCACATACCCTAATACCTATAAGCCTTATGGTGCCACTGCTGGAGGATAGCTCAAATGTTTCTAAAAGTCATGTGGAGGAAGCTACTACATCTAAGTAAGGTTTCTAATTTAAGAAACTGGATTCACATATCATACTAAGACATACAGGTAGTCCTTGACTTACAACTACAACTGAGCCCAAAATTTCTGTTGCTAAGCCAGACAGTTGTTAAATGAGCTTTGCCCCATTTTACGATCTTTCTTTACCACAGTTCTTCAGTGCAGTTGCGAAGTTAGTAATGTGGTTGTTAAGTGAGTCTGGCTTCCCCCATTGACTTTGCTCGTCAGAAGGTCGCAAAAGGGGATCCCGTGATCCTGGGACACTGCAGCTGTCATAAATATGAACCAGTTGCCAAGCATCTGAATTTTGATCACGTGACCATAGAGATGCTGCAACAGTCACAAGTGTGAAAAACAGTCATAAGTCACTTTTTTTCAGGGCCACTGTAACTTTGAACGGCCATTAAACAAATTGTTGCAAGTCGAGGACTGCCTGTACTTTTGTCTGAGTTGGTTGCATAAGCCATTATTACCCTAGCTCATCCGTATTGCTAAGGTGTAACCTATGATTCATATATAACTGTGGTTGGAATCAATTGCCCTGCTAAGCCAAAAGTAAACAAACCACATTGTGAATTAAAACAACATTTGCACCTAAATCAGCATCTTGGAATTCTTAAGTAATAATGTATTTTTATCCCATCTCAAGACCATTTTAAAACTTATTTCTTTATAATATTACCTGATACTTGCTTCATTTTTTTTTAACCTTCCTAGATCCTTCCCCCCCCCCTTCTCCCCCCCCCCGTAAAATTATTTGCCAAAATAAAGTATTCAACAACTTTTTTAAAATTTCAAGTTTAAATACCTACATATTAACATCGTTCCAATAAAAATCTCAAATCTCTTCAAACACATCCGGTTAGACACACATAACGGGCTTCCAAACTAACCCCCCACAATTGCTTGCAGTATTCAGAGGGGGGTAAAAGCCAAGAAACATTAGAAGAGCCGTGTATACAGTTTCTCACTCTCACTACACTACACTGTTATTTAGGGAGGCTTCTAAGGTACAACTAATTTCAGTTTAAAACTGTACTGTCATATGGAAAAATAGTACTTTGGAGTATGTTCTCATTGAGAAATCAAATCCAAATCCTGTTTGGAAGCCTTTGGCAAACATTGTTGCAACAGTACAATCAAAAGGTTATATATTCAAAGTGTTACTGGACACTTCATTTTCAGATTTTTTAAAAAAATGCTTAAGAATATTTCTGGGGAAAATGAGTCCTGGTAAGGAACATTCATTTCCAGATCTGAGACAACATAATAAATAAATGTTAAAATATCCATCAAGATTTTTTTAAAAACCTCCTCTAAGACATGAATCCGTTCAATTTATTAACTCTTACTGTATAAAAGACCTATGAAATTTACGAAAAAACAATTTCATTCCACATGAGAGAAAAAAATCGAAACTCAAACATAAACTGTATCAAATTGTAGACTGAATATATGGTTTAGTGTTGATGTGAACTAAAGAACTAGGGATACGTAGCTCATAGGTCACGCACCTGAAAATCCTGTTAACTCATCACATGAACCTAGAAGAACAACATTGTCCCAATGCCTTTACAATTGGTTTAAACAGATGGGGAGCTGAAAGCTGTAGTTCAACATCTGGAAAGCCATATACTGTACTCTGAACCTTGTCCTTATGGTGACTGAAGGCCATTATATCTAAAACAAAATGGCCCTTCTCATTAGGTTTTATACCATCACATTTTAATTCATAGACGATAAGGCTAAAAAGAGCTACTGGGATCTTCATAATTTAATTCATACATGTATATGGATTAAATATGATGCAAGTTTGTAACTATTGACTCTGTAAACTCTGCATGATAAAAAAACCTTACTCTGGCATATTACTGACTAGTCATTAACACAACTATAGAAAAGCATGATCAGTCGCACATACGTTACAGTGTGCTTCCTCTTTGGAAATTCATTTAGTGCAGAAATAAAGAATACCAATTATTAGGAACAAAAGGTACAAGCATTTGGGCACAGAGGGTGTCAGTGTCTATAATGGAAGTGACTCTGTTGGTACCTGCTTTTACTCAATTCTATAACATTTCATCTCGAGGTGTTTGCTAAGAAACCTTTCCCAGATTAAAAACAAAAAGCAAAATGCAGCCTTGTCCTGTTAGCTCCCTTTTCTAAGCTTAGAAACTTTTTCAAGTTGCTGCTGGAACTAAGGCAGGCCTTTAAAGCTTTACCAAGCTAGCAGGAATCAAACATCTGTCTAAAAGCCCCAAATAATTATAGATCAGCACAGAAGCAACTATGCACATTCTGAGTTCTCTTTGTTACAATTTTGAATAAACCAGTGTTACATGAATAAAAAACCCATTTCAATGTGTTTCATAGAGTACTTCAGACACAGCTGAAAATGTTCTCAAATGGAGCTTGATGCTTACTGTATATGTGTGGTGTAATGGTTAAAATGTTGGATTAGGACTAAGGAATCACAGCTTCAAGTCCATCCTCAGCCAGTGAGGCTGATTGACTTCAGTTAGTGTTTCTCAGCCAAACCTACCTCATAGGATTATTGTTGTGAGGGAAAATAGAGGGTGCAATGTTATGTATGCTACTCATAAAAATATACATATAACAGATAAACAAATATGTCACTCTGAACTTTCAGAAGAAAGGCAGGATATAAATCTAACAAATTAAAAGGTATGATCCTGCTGCTTTGACCATAGTACAGAAATGATTTGTCACCATTTTCTATTACAAAGTTTTCAACTTTTCCAGCTCTGTGATTCTCTGATGGTCTCCCACCCAAGTAGACCAAACAAATTCAGCCTTGCTTCTGAGTCAGTTGCTGCCATCTGCCAAGACAATACAAGTCACACAAAGGCAAGCAAACACTGATACAAAGATCCCTTTCCCTGTTACTTTCTACAACCCAATACCACTATTCACCAATATAAAACACATTTTTCTTATACGCCCACACAAGCAAAGATGAGTCAATAAAACATGAATTCAGTTTGGAAAAAAAAATTAACAGCTACCTGGTTTCCTCCCTTTCCACAGATTTGCTTAATTCTCTATCGAGAGATGTAACAAGACCTCAGGGACTTATTTAAATAAATTGTTCTATGAAAATCACAGGCTCTTAGGTTTACACTTAGGATAAAGAACAAAAATCAAAGGAACAAAAACTGAAACAGCTGCCAGAAAAGCATTACTAAAGTAGCTACAGTTGTCAGAAGTATAAAAACAAGCACAGAATGACTATTAAAAAAAAAAAATTCTAGAATTGCAGTGACACATAGGTTCCTGTCATGTTAGAAGATAGCATCATTCCCCTGAACTGCAAAGAGATTACCATTTATATCTTTGCTTATAAAAATCCCAACCCTTATCTTACTTGGAGGCGTAATCTTTTCCATTTAACTTCCTTCATTACAGGTACACACATTCCTTAATAGAAACACGTCTTACAACATCCAGGGGAAAGACAATCAGTAGATCAACAGATACTTATTATCTCGTCATGTTAATAGCCCCACTTTTATTGCCCCTAGGCTCTGATCACCGTTATCGCCAGTAACTCTCCATAAAATCCCGCAGGGTTCTTCTAATCTAAGCTTTCTTTTAACTCGGCAGCCTCCCTTTTCCACTTTAACCTCTATTTCGCCTTTTCCCCCCCCCAAGCCTCTCTCCGTTTACTCCTGCCATGCCCTTCTACCAACGATGCCTTTTATTCCCCCACACCCCCTGAACGAAGAGCAAGGAGCCCAGACAGGTGTCCCTGTTTATATGCCGCCCTGAGTCTTCGGAGAGGGGCGGCATATAAATTTAATTAATTAAATTAAATTGTTGTCGTTGCCTAAAACACTCACAAATTGTCCCACCCAGACCCTTGATCAATTTCATTCATTTTTCCAGGGGTCACATTTTGGCACCCCCCAAAATCTCAAAAATCAGCCAGGGTACTTCCCACGCACCCCCGCCTCCCGATTAAGAAACGATCGTTTCCTATACACGCAAACACTTAAGGATCGGGGAGATCCACCCGCTGAATCTGCTCGCCATCCACCTGGGGGAAAAAAGCCCCCTAGAAGGAAGCCCGGCCAATAAGAAAAGGGGGCAACCCGAGCTCTGCTCCCTTCTTTTGAATGGCCAACGCCTCGCTTTCTTCCCAGGGTCCTTCACCCCAGTTCCTAACCCATAATGTCCTGTTCGTCCCGCTCCTCCCGCGCCCCGGCTTCTTCTGCCTTTTGCTCCGCTCACCAGCCGGCCGCGGCCGCTCTCGGTCTCAGCCCTCCCCGGACTCCCAGTTGCCAAATTTCCCGGAGCCAGCGAGTCGCCATGGAGGGCGGGGCGGGGGGGGAGGAAAGACCAGACCAAGTGGAAATGCCCCTCTCTCTCCCCCTCTCTCTCTCTCTCTCTCTCTCGACCGTATCAATTCCGCCAGCAAATAAGACAGGCACCGGCGTGAACTTTCACCCCACCTCCCCCCGTTCACGTCACAATGTCATTGCGTCGCCCTGTCTATGTCACAGCTCGGGAGGAAAAAAAAAAGGGGGGGGGTCTGGAGAGGAAGCGAGCGCAAGGCATTGTGGGAGATGTGGTTCTAAAGGTTACGCCCGAGTGAATTATGGGAAGTGAGGCTTCTCTTCCTTTTGAGCGCCCGCCGTCTTCCAATCGCGGGCTGTTTATGATGTGCGTCGACTTCTTTTAAAGTCGCCTTTATCTCCAAAAGCTTGCGTTGGGTTAGTGTTTAGAGTGGGAGGCCATCTCAGATCTGTGGAGGAGATTGGGAAGTGAGAGGAAAAAAAATGGGTGGTGGTGGGGGAAACTAACCCTAAGCGGGGAAAAAATGGGAAAAGATAATGGCAAGCTCTTTCTGAACTATTGTTAACTTAAAGTATATGTACATACATGCTCTTTCCTCCCAGGCGAAGCCACATTTGCATGCCGTGGAAAACTAGGCAAAAGAAATTAAAGATAGGAAGGGAAGAAAATGCAGCTAAACCAACCTTGAATCGAGTCAATTTACTATACAGCTACGCTCCTTTCAATTTCCATTACATCCATAAGTTAATTTGTAGGTTGCCGTTTGTTCTTTAAGGATAAACATATCCTAGTAATTATCAAGAGCCCCAAGCAAATATTTGAGGTCGGTTTTATTAAATGCATGAATACAGTCCTTAGTCAAATGGAGCCATTTATTTTGTGCAAAAGCAGACAACATTATAAATGTCTCAGCACTGAGAACTCATCACTTGAGAACCATCACTGAAAGTTTGGTCATAGGCTGCCTAATTATATTTTGTTATTTTTCATTGATACGTAAATCAGAGTTGTACAACTGTCAGGAAGAGGGCCCAGAACAGATCCTATCATCAGGAAAAGTGATAATTAACATCTGTTGAGTTGTACTGTACCGAGATAAAGTTAGGAGTGGGAGCTCTGTTCTGCTCCTATAGACATCTGAGACTGCTGACAGTGCACATGCATAAAAGAGGGGGGAAAAGAGAATCAAAATGAACACAAATAAGCATAAATCAAATAAGCAATCCATCTTCAACCCTACTAGAGATTCCCTGCCAAAGCCTTGATGCTAAATAACAACTCTTTGCAGTATGTTGTATAAAAGACCTGATC